TGCTTCTAGGGAATATATTCATCTTTTTTTAAAAATATATTTTATTGATTTTTTTACTGAGAGGAAGGGAGAGAGATAAAGAGTCAGAAACATCGATGAGAGAGAAACATCAACCAGCCGCCTCCTGCGCATCCCCTACTGGGGACGTGCCCGCAACCCAGGTACATGCCCTTGACCGGAATCGAACCCAGGACCTTTCAGTCCGCAGGCCGATGCTCTATCCATTGAGCCAAACCGGTTTCAGCAATCATTCTTAATTTGAAAAACTGGGACAGTATAGTTCTATTTCCCACACACTCTGCCAGGAATCCACATTGCAAAATGAAGACTTGTCATGTGTAGGTGGACACTGTTTGTGTATTTCCTTTGAAGAGATTTTTATTTTAAACATTGTTTTCTATCCTCCCCTGCAGTTTCTGCCGGAATCCCACTTCTCTGCACTGGGAGACCTTGGCTCAGCTCTTTAGAACTGTCTTGAGTTCCTCTCGGAAGGTTTGAACTAGTGCAAGAACGGCCTGCCTGACCAGTTCCATTGTCCATTGCTCTCTCTTTTGACTACTCTTGACTACTCTTTTGAGTGAACACCATAAGGTGAGAACCCAAAAGTGAGGACTGCTTGGGGCTGCCAACCACATTCTCTTTGACTCGGTTGAATTGTCCTTGGGTCAAAAGAACGGGTAAGAAAGGCAGGAGGAAGGCAGCAAGATGAATGAGATCTGGCCCGAACCCCTTACTGTACTGGGCCAAAGCTGGCCAGGTCTGACTTAGAGCATTTCTCCATCACTAGCGTTCGTGGAGCAAAGCCTGTGCAAATGGTGTTTGCTCTCTGTCTTCCATGACAGGCCATGCAGATACTCAAAACAGAGTGAAAAAGCCATCTATCTGGTATAAATAACCCATGACCTTGGCCACCTTCGCCTTCCACATGCTCACCCAGTTGGTTCGGTGGATCACAAGCATGCCGAGCACTGACCTTGGGCATGAAAAGAGGTCCTGGATGGTGTTTGTGGTCCTGATGACCGCCCTCCCATGTTAGTGGTGCATGTCAAATGTGTGGTCTCCAAATAATTTTCATTTTCTAAGCATGAATTTTATGCTGAGTCTAGTGTGTGGATTTGTTACACACATGGGTTCTAGGATGAGCTCCCCAATACCTTCATGTGGTGATGAATTGCTGCTGGGGAGGCTGGCTGCCACCAAAGGACGGCTTCGGGCTGCCTCCTTCTCTGGCAGTTACACTGCTCCAAGTGATGGCTCTCTTCCCTTTTATTCTTTCCCCCATTTTGCTCCAAATAAATATTTTCACTGTACACCTCTTGTAGATTGAGCTAATGAACAAAGAAAGGGGATTGTTTACTTACTGTTGCTCATTTTTGAAGATACAGTGGGGAGATAAAGCCTTATGAGTTCAGGTGTCTCATCTACAGGATGATGGACACTCTAATTATATTTCAATTTCCTCTCATCCCTTCCCCCGCACCCCC